TCAATGATAAATTTGTTTTTAAAATATTTCATTATAATAAATTTCTCTCTACATTATCAAAAAAAGCACTCAATCCATTAACAATGGAAAAAATAGCTGTAAATCTACATTTTAGACAGAAAGACTGTATTCAGTTAGCCTCTAGATCTGTGAATCCATCACAAAGCTAATTGTTTAATTCTTTTCATTCAAATCGTGCTGTGAATTCATGGCAGGTATACCAAATGACTAAAATGTGAATAGGCCAGCTGCATTTCTAAGAAACTCATCATAAAATGTGCTTGGTGCTCACTAATTAGCAAGGCTTACACCTGATTTTGTTGGACTCGAACTACTAGAAGACAAAAACAAGTTTACAGCAAAAATATAATTGCCATGACTTGATGTCCAAACAGAATAACTCACTCTAACAGCCCGAACCACAAACTAATAAGTATAATTGTCCTTCTCTAAATAGCAGATGGGCAGAAGTGGCTTTGATTCAAATGATTAGAAAGGCAATGAGCAACTCTATGCCAGCAAATTAGATAACCTGGAAGAGATGGATGCATTCCCAGAGATGTATCAACTACCAAAACTGAACCAGGATGAAATAGAAAACCTGAACAGACCTATAACCACTAAGGAAATTGAAGCAGTCATCAAAAATCTCCCAAAAAACAAAAGCCCAGGGCCAGATGGCTTCCCAGGGGAATTCTACCAAACATTTCAAGAAGAATTAATACCTATTCTTCTGAAACTGTTCCAAAAAATTGAAACGGAAGGAAAACTTCCAAACTCATTTTATGAGGCCAGCATTACCTTGATCCCCAAACCAGACAAAGACCCCATCAAAAAGGAGAATTACAGACCAATATCCCTGATGAACATGGATGCAAAAATTCTCACCAAAATACTAGCCAATAGGATCCAACAGTACATTAAAAGGATTATTCACCATGACCAAGTGGGATTTATCCCTGGGCTGCAAGGTTGGTTCAACATCCGCAAATCAATCAATGTGATACAGTACATTAACAAAGGAAAGAACAAGAATCATATGATCCTCTCGATAGATGCCGAAAAAGCTTTTGACAAAGTACAGCATCCTTTCTTGATCAAAACTCTTCAGAGTATAGGGATAGAGGGTACATACCTCAATATCATAAAAGCCATCTATGAAAAACCTACAGCAAATATTATTCTCAATGGGGAAAAACTGAGAGCTTTCCCCCTAAGGTCAGGAACGCGGCAGGGATGTCCACTATCACCACTGCTATTCAACATAGTATTGGAAGTCCTAGCCACAGCAATCAGACAACAAAAAGAAATCAAAGGCATCCAAATTGGCAAAGAAGAAGTCAAACTCTCACTCTTTGCAGATGATATGATACTTTATGTGGAAAACCCAAAAGACTCCACCCCAAAACTGCTAGAACTCATACAGGAATTCAGTAAAGTGGCAGGATATAAAATCAATGCACAGAAGTCAGTGGCATTCCTATACACCAACAACAAGACAGAAGAAAGAGAAATTAAGGAGTCGATCCCATTTACAATTGCACCCAAAACCATAAGATACCTAGGAATAAATCTAACCAAAGAGACAAAGGATCTGTACTCAGAAAACTATAAAATACTCATGAAAGAAATTGAGGAAGACACAAAGAAATGGAAAAACGTTCCATGCTCATGGATTGGAAGAACAAATATTGTGAAGATGTCAATGCTACCTAGAGCAATCTACACATTCAATGCAATCCCCATCAAAATACCACCCACTTTTTTCAAAGAAATGGAACAAATAATCCTAAAATTTGTATGGAACCAGAAAAGACCCCGCATAGCCAGAGGAATATTGAAAAAGAAAAGCAAAGCCGGTGGCATCACAATTCCGGACTTCAAGCTCTATTACAAAGCTGTCATCATCAAGACAGCATGGTACTGGCACAAAAACAGACACATCGATCAATGGAACAGAATAGAGAGCCCAGAAATGGACCCTCAACTCTATGGTCAACTAATCTTCGACAAAGCAGGAAAGAATGTCCAATGGAACAAAGACAGTCTCTTCAACAAATGGTGTTGGGAAAATTGGATAGACACATGCAGAAGAATGAAACTGGACCACTTCCTTACACCACACACAAAAATAGACTCCAAATGGTTGAAAGACCTCAATGTGAGACAGGAGTCCATCAAAATCCTAAAGGAGAACACAGGCAACAACCTCTTTGACCTCAGCCGAAGCAACTTCTTCCTAGAAACATCGCCAAAGGCAAGGGAAGCAAGGGCAAAAATGAACTATTGGGACTTCATCAAGATAAGAAGCTTTTGCAAAGCAAAGGAAACAGTTAAGAAAACCAAAAGACAACCGACAGAATGGGAGAAGATATTTGCAAATGACATATCAGATAAAGGGCTAGTATCCAAAATCTATAAAGAACTCATCAAACTCAACACCCAAAGAACAAAGAATCCAATTAAGAAATGGGCAGAAGACATGAACAGACATTTTTCCAAAGAAGACATCCAAATGGCCAACAGACACATGAAAAAGTGCTCAATATCGCTCGGCATCAGGGAAATCCAAATCAAAACCTCAATGAGATATCACCTCACACCAGTCAGAATGGCTAAAATTAACAAGTCAGGAAACGACAGATGTTGGCGGGGATGCGGAGAAAGGGGAACCCTCCTCCACTGTTGGTGGGAATGCAAGCTGGTGCAGCCACTCTGGAAAACTGTATGGAGGTTCCTCAAAAAGTTGAAAATAGAGCTACCATATGATCCAGCAATTGCACTACTGGGTATTTACCCCAAAGATACAAAAGTAGGGATCCGAAGGGCTACGTGCACCCCGATGTTTATAGCAGCAATGTCCACAATAGCCAAACTGTGGAAAGAGCCAAGATGTCCATCGACAGATGAATGGATAAAGAAGATGTGGTATATATATTCAATGGAATATTATGCAGCCATCAAAAGGAATGAGATCTTGCCATTTGCAACGACGTGGATGGAACTGGAGGGTATTATGTTGAGTGAAATAAGTCAAACAGAGAAAGACATGTATCATATGATCTCACTGATATGAGGAATTCTTAATCGCAGGAAGCAAACTGAGTGTTGTTGGAGTGGGGGGTGGGGTGGGAGGGATGGGGGGACTGGGTGATAGACACTGGGGAGTGTATGTGCTCTGGTAAGCGCTGTGAATTGTGCAGGACTGTTGAATCTCAGATCTGTGCCTCTGAAACAAATAATGCAATATATGTTAAGAAAAAAAAAAAAGAAGAAGAAGAAGAAGGTAGCGGGAGGGGAGGAATGAAGCGGGGGAAGTCGGAGGGGTAGACGAACCATGAGAGACGATGGACTCTGAAAAACAAACAGGGTTCTAGAGGGGAGGGGGGTGGGAGGATGGGTTAGCCTGGTGGTGGGTATTTAGGAGGGCACATTCTGCATGGAGCACTGGGTGTTATGCACAAACAATGAATCATGGAACACTTCATCTAAAACTAATGTTGTAATGTAAGGGGATTAACATAAGAATAAAAAAATTAAAAAAAAAAAAAAAAATGATTAGAAAGGCAGAAGCTTGAGGACTAATGGCTTTAACAGAAATCTCTCTCCAAGGGTTTGTCAACACATCCATCTTAACAGACACCATCCATTTTGTTGTCCAAGTAATTGGTAATGCATTACTTTGTGTTTTTGCACTCACAGTTATTACAGAAAAGTAATAGGTACACCTCCATGCCTTCTTTTTTCTCTTGTAAAAGGATACAGTAGATAGAAATTGAATGTAGACAAGAAAAAATTAACAAAGTTTCAAAACAGTCAAGTTTGAAATTTGAATCATAAAAGCCCAACTTGTCTTCTCATTTTATATATAATACACAGTTATTTTTTTTAAAGATTTTATTTATTTATTTGTCAGAGAGAGAGCGAGCATGCACAAGCAGGGAGAGTGGCAGGCAGAGGGAAAAGCAGGCTCCCCACTGAGCAAGGAGCCTGATACAGGACTCAATCCCAGGACCCTGGGATCATGACCTGAGCTGAAGGCAGACACTTAACCAGCTGAGCCACCCAGTCATCCCTATACAGTACACAGTTATTTTAAAACTACAAATACAAATTGTATCTTTTCTGAATTTAAAAGTTTCCTTTATTTTCCTCTTTCTTTTGAAAAATTACATCATTAATAGCTAATAAATGTAGATGGAACAGCAGAATTAGAAATTCACCATTCTGGAAACCACTATGAAATATTTGATTCAGGTAAGATCATCATGGATCTTAAATCCCCAAAATATCACCCCACAGATTATGTCCTAATCACAAATGGGGTCTTTTCTTTATAATAGAGATGTTTGTTGTCATCACCTTAACCAAGTGCTCAAACTCAACAGCATTAATGGTGATAATATGTGTCTTCTGATGGAATACAATTTAAGTCACAGGATCACCTATAAAGTACTCTTGCCATAAGCATTTAACCTGAATCATGCTTCTAGACCAAAATTCAAGTTACAAGAATAAATTAAATGTTACCATAAAGAAACACCTAGCCAAATCCCTGGCCTGTTCTCTTCAGAGTGTCAATGTCATGAAAAACATGGGGGGACTATCTTCTAGGTCGAGGGAAACTAAAAAGATGTAACTACTAAATTCAATTGGTGAACCTTGATTAGATCCTGGTTCAAAAAACTATAAAAAACACAGGAAATAATTAGAAAGATTTTAATATGCTGAAGTATTGATGGGTAAGTATAATGGGGTCTATGACTGATTTTCAAATGATTCAGCAAATTAATAATAACAATATAAATATATATATACATATATATGTAAACACAAACATACACAGACATTCCCAGACATGCTAAAATGTTATCTGTTGGTTCTAGGTGGTCAGTTCATGGGTACTCAATATCCTAGTCTTTCAACTTTTCTATATGCTTGAAAAAACTCAAAATAAAAAGTAACAAACTTTTGCATTTAATGTTCAACATGTACAGTACCTGGTTCTTGAATGACATCTACTTTCCCCACACTGATTTGAAGTATTTCACCATTCTTTGCAAATGTCTCCCATTCTGAATCAGTCTGCTGGCAGGATGGACACCAAGGAGCGTAACTGTAAAAGAAAAATAGCTAGTCAATATAAACATATGAAAAAAAATCTATAAAACAAACTAGAAAAATAGAGCATTTAAATTTAAAAAATAAATTCTTAACTAAAGGGAAAAACGAAAGCAAGCTTTTCCAAAGTTGCTTGATATAGAAAAACAGAAGCATATTCCCCCCTCCTAGAATTTAATGTATGAATATCAATTCCCTGGGGAAAAAATAGCTAAAGTTTAAGAAGATTTTCACAAATTATTGTAATATATAAAGTATCTTATTTCAGTGTTATTCTTACAATGGACCCAAATTTTACTATTTACCAGATAGCTTTTGATTTTTGAGGGTGAAAAGGCTTTGAGTGTCCCACTAAAGGTGGATAATTTTCACAAGGGTGCCTCTAAACTAGCCAAACTAGTTTCAGATTCATCAAAGTGAGATCTGATGAGTAGAGACCAGAGACACTTTCTTAAGTAGAAGAGGGGTTAGAAATAAATACTTGGGCCTTCAACCAGAACTCTGCTGTTTTAGATTGCTTTTTTTCATTCAATAAACATGATCTAAGCACCATGCTAAAAACTGAGGCTACCCCTGTGAACAAGACAGACATGGTGCCTCCTTCCTCCTTGTGGCTTCTATCATCTACAGATGAAAAGAGGTAAGCCCGGGGGGTAATGACAATCCATGTGGCAAATGCCATGACTGAGAATGTGGAACAGATGCTATGGGACACTCAGAAGCTGGATGATCTCAGAAGGGCCCGCAGAGAAAGGAGCATCTGTGCTAAGATCTAAAGTAAGAGTAACAGCCAGAGAGGGTCAAGGAATGTTCTAACCCAAGCAGAGAGAACAGGAAGTGTGAAGACAGAGTATTGACAGGACAGGATGAAAACATCATTCACAGCCTTTAAAAATGTTGGATAAGGAGTTAGGACTTTATTCCAAGCTCCATGACTGATACCTTAAAAAAAATAAAAATCATGATCAGATTTACATTTTTGGAAAAGTCATCTGGCAGCTCTGCGGAAAATGGATCAGGGAAGGATAAGACGGAAGCAAACTGGAAGGCTGTACTGTCCTCCTGGCAGTACGCTAATGGCCTCACTTTGCCTCCCATGATGCTAGAAAACATCATAAATGGGCCATAAAGCTTTAATGTGCTCCAGGATTTCACATGCAGATGTTAAAATAGGAATCCAGAGAAAACTGCTGTTTAGAAAGTATAGTGGATTGAACAGCATCTCTTAAAGACTCTTAACCCCTCATACCTGTGCATATGATCTTATTTGGAATAAGGGTCTTTACACATATAATTAAAGTAAGGATCTTGATGTGAGATTATCCTGGATTTAGAGTAGGTTCTCATAAAAGAAAGAAGAGCAAAGTGTGACACAGAGACACAGGAGGAAGGCCATGTGAAGATGCAGTCAGAGATGGGTGGTCTGTAGCTACAGGCCAAAGAATGCCAAGAACTGCTGGAAAGGCACGGAACAGACACTCTCCTAGAGCCTCCAGAGAAAGCCAACTTTGCCAACATGGTGATTTTGGAAGTTGGGTCTCCAGAATTGTGAGAGAATAAATTGCCACTGTTTTAAGCTACTAAGTTTGTGGTAATTTGCAGTAGTACAAGGAAACTAATGCAGAAAGGAAGATATTATTTGAAATTGGGAGGAATTGAGATCAAATATGCCTTATGGAGACTTAAAGAATTGGTAGAGCTATGCTTAACATAAAATACTGTGAACAAACAATAACATACACTGGAAATTGATTTTAAAATACTAACATAGAACACAATTAAAAGGGAAATTAACATTTACAGAACAATGTCACAAAAATATATGAATACAAATGAAGAGACATTCTGTTTTGCTTAATAATACCCAGAAGAAAAAAATCAGTAAATAAAATTAATTAATCAATGCTCACAAAATAGGACAGGATACTCCGGAAAAAAACATCACCAGACACTTTGAATAATATTTCAGGATGCCATCAACTAGACATGATATTTTAAAAATCTGCTTAAATCTGTTTAAATTATATTTTAACAAAACCCTCAACTTAAGTCAAAATGCTGAGGGAATAAATGCAATAGATACTTTTAAAAGACTTGATATCACTGAATGGTGTATGTACAATGGGTGAATTTTATAGTATGTAAATTATGCCACCCAGGGGTAGAAGGCAGGAGACATGGATGAACCACGACTGGTAATATGTTGATACAACTACTGAATCTGGATGATGGATGATGGGAGTTCATTATACTACTATTTTTGTTTATGTTTGAAATTTTCCTAATAAATAGTTTTTGTTTTTGTTTTTTTATTGAGGTATAACTGACATATAACATTACATAAGTTTTAGGTACAACATAATGATCAAATATATTTTTCTTAAAGATTTGATGAAATGGAAAGAGCCAACAAGTTCTGGATGGGCAGGCTCAGCATTAAATGTTAATTCTCCCCAATTTATTTTCCATCACTGAATTATTTTTACAAAATGTGGCATCTATTATTTCTACATTAAGAGAAGAAAGGGGTGAGGGGAAAAAGAGGTAGGAAAGAATGTCTGCCAAAAGAATAAAACAAACACACACAGGAAAAAAATGTCTTAGGAAAGGAAATAAAGGGGAAAAATGTTAAATGATCAAATTCTATAAAAAGATCTAGGCTCAAAGGTGCTGTCAGGTCATCATTTACGGACCCTTTTATCTTGACCTAAGCAGAAGCATGTCTGTAAGTGCCATGTAACACTCAAGGCAATGATGCATACAAACCAACTTTCCTGAAAAACAACAATAACACACATTTCTGAAATAAGGCAATATTTTGATCTTTCACATTATGAAAGGGTATGGGGGGGTTAAAAAGTCAACATGATGGGGAGTTGCATGTACTTTGAGACAAGTATTGAGATTGGGCACAGCCCAGGGGAGAAAGGACACCCAAAGCAAGGCATGCATTTCTCTCTCCAGCCAGGCCCCAGAAACAGCCAGACTTAAGCACATTTGTTCATCCTAAGGACTGTTCATCCATCTCTAAAAGGGTCTAGTATAGCCAATTCCAAGATAATTCTAAAAAAAGTCATTAATCTTCTCATTACAGCTCACTGTCCAATCCCTGAGACACCAGAGATATGGACCAGAGAACATTGACCAGGAACAGTCTGCTGACATCTTTGACCATGGCTGATTTAAACACATGTATCTCTACATTTCCAGGGCAAAGTATATCCCTGGTACAGTAAGTGCTCAATAAATATGTGCTGAATAAGTAAATGAACAAACTTTAAAGAAAATTATAGTCTTTGAGAAATTCATTTTTTACATATTTTAAAAATATCCATATGGCAGATGATACTGGGACAAGCAGTTGTTTGGTAAACTTTAGGGAAAAAGAGAACATTTTATTATTTAGTACTTCAATGGGCATTTCAGTGTATTAGATAAGAGTTCTGCCAAAGGACTCAACAAGACCAACCACAAATTAACCATGTGACTTTGTGCAGGTTAGTAATCGCTCCATGCCTCAGCTTCCTCAACTGCAAAATGGGACTAACAGCAGCTACCTTAGAAGGTTATTGGGAGATTAGATGACTTATATAAAGCAGGCACATATTAAGAACAATACCAATTACATTTGTAATATACTGCAAGCAGTATATTTCCAAGACACTTTTATGATGCATTAGAGCTCATCTGAACCTTACAACATCACTGTCAAACAGACAAGGCAGGTTTAAAGGACCTTGCTTAAGGTCACCTAAGACCACACAGAACAAGAACCCAGAGGGAGGTATTCATGTGATAAAACTTCCAAGGAAAATAAGACCCAACATTGAGAGAGAGAACCACAGAAGGAAGAAATTACCAAAAATAAGGAAGAAATCTTGCAGTTCAATTAAACAAATTCTAGATCCTTTTTGCTTTGTTTCCCTAGGCCTGTGCCTTTGCATTTAACTCAAAGACATATTTACTACATCAGTAATTATTAAATCATGCAAATTTCATCTTTTATTTTTTAAAATCCCAGTCCCTAATCTCTAGACAGGCCATTATATGAATTGGGGTTTTGGTGATACTGATCTCAAGATATAAAAATGCCACTGAGGTCACTTTAGATATTCCATTTTTTTTATGTAGCTGCCACCCAGTGGAGACTATGAATGCTATTATTTCTGAGATTTATTCAGAGCTATTTGTGTTGGGAGTGCACAAACATCATTCACTAACTTAGTGTGTTCTTTTGGTGGTAGAAATAAGTCAGCTCTGAGTCTCTGGTGTGGGAAATGGTCCACTGTTGTTTCAGTTTTTTAAATTATTAGTATTCTTTTGGACCTAAACGACTGTGATTTAGACAGTGATTTAGAACCTACTAAAGGAAAATACCTTCAGGGGCTAAAGGAATACAAATAAGGAAACTCATGACTTTCATGTACTCCTGCACACTCTGTCCGTCTCTCTCTCTCTGTGTATGTATGTAGATATAAATATAATTTTTATGCACGTATGCATGACAAAAATCATTAGAAAGGACTGAATATGATCTTCATTTATATTATTTAAGACTAGTTCATAATGTCAGTCTTCTAAGAACTATAAAAGAGTTGACCTGCCATAACTTTGTCTTTTACATTCAAATTAATCCTTTTTTCATTTAAGAGCCTCCAAGAGGAACTAGAAGCTTTATAGTCCTGAAAACTATACAATAGTATCTTTTCTATTTAAACTTTTCCCAGGCATCAGCAGTATATAAAGTTAGTAAGCTTCAAAAAGACATTTGAAATACATTCCAGGTAGCTAAAAAACTGTTAAATTACATCAACTTGGATATCAGTCCAATGTTTTTAACCACTTCTGGGAAACAAAATTCAAAAGCATGTTTTTGTCATCCATGTCCATATTTATGCATATATTATACTTAGTTTCTGCTATATGCAAGGTGGGTTGAAAGCCCTTGATTACTTTGCATAAACCAACTGAATTTGGTATGAGATTTCATTAAGTGTACAAGAAAGGAGTTACTTAAAAACATTTCCTAGAAATAAAATTTTACTAAAAATACATTTTTATTCCCCAATAATGGACAATTTTCCTTCTTCTATCTTGGCTCAAATTTCACACACTCTCTTCAGGAGAGAGTGCACACTCCTGTACATTCTCTTTTCTTATCCTTGCAGAACAGAGATGGACAATGACTGATACGGTCAATTTTCACTTAGAACTTACTTTGACCAAAGTGCTCAAAAGAATATGTGACAATGAGGATGAAAGAGGTATCATCTTTCTATGACTTAATACATGAAACTAAATCAAAATGTCAACAGATGATCTACATCAAGTGCTATTCCTCTCTCTGGAAAATATGGAAAAACTCTTAATGATCCAAGAGTTGGAAGGCTTATGTTTGATTTTATTTCTTTAGAAGATCATTTCTAGGACATTTTGTCATAAAATGTGGAGGAAAAATAAAACTTGACAACTCCACAAAAACCATGATACCTGCTAGAGAAAATGGAATTCACTACTTTCTTTAGAATGAAGACTCCATGGAGGCAGTGATCTCCGCTGTACTGCCCTTGTACTGTACAGAACATTGTACAGAACAGAGCCTGGCACGTCCTAGGCCACAGTAAATATTTATTACATTAATGAACAAATGGGAGATGACAGTGACTATCCTTAGTACCTACAAAAATATATACAGATAGATGTTTCCTTCAGTGATGTACATGAGGAAGCTCTTCATTAAAGGAACAACTAGTCTATTAGTCATTCATTCACTTAGTGAAAGTATTTATTGAACACTTAGTACTTGTTATCAAGGCTCTGGAGACAAATAGAAAGAAGAAAGACTTTCGTTCTCTACTGAAAAGCTGATTGTCTAGAAGAGGAATTAGACAAAAACCTAGTGTAGAAGCATAAAAAATTAATTTATAATTACAAGTTGTGATAAGGGCCATGATAGATACAAACAAGACAAAGTGAGAATTTTCCTGGGTGGTTTGTGTGCATAGAAGACAGAGCACCTGTTTGAGTGGTGAAGAGTGTCAGGAATGAGGATATAGCAATAATGCTCTTCATTTGGAGATTCTACAGATGATAAAACTATGGGTGGGCTTCTGAATCCCACAGGCTTCAAAGAAAAGCCTTTCTTTCAGGTGGCTCATGGTGCTGGCTAGCTGACAGCCTAAGCCTGAATAAACCAGGCTCCCCCACTACCCAACTATTCTAGGCTTGCATCAGGAACTGCAAAGCTCAGGCCTGCATTCTAGTTCTGGCCTTGACAACCACTTACTACTGGCCTTGCCCAAAGCTTTAACCTTTTCGTTTTAATCTCCTCTAGGAAATGAGAATGAGAATGAAAGTTCTGCACCTGATTGCTGGGATGATCAAGTAAGAGAGCATTGATGAATAAGAGGACATGTGACGTAAACAATGTAACAGTTTACTGTGACTGAGATGATGAGGATCATGGAGGTGATGTGGATGGCCCTTGTGGAAACAGTCTGAAATCATATACTTATATATAGTTCACTTATGAGCTATTTTTTGTATGTTTTTAAATACCCATAACAGTACCCAGGGCAGTGGTTTTCAATCAGAGACATTTGGAAATATGCATAAGAGATGGAGATTGCTAAATTTTTTTGGTGTCACATGAATACTAGAATGTAATGGGCAGGGGCAGCAATACTTAAGGTTCAGCAATGGGCAGGCCATCCCCACATATCAAAGAACTGTCCAAACCAAGATGCCAATAGTGCCTGATGAGAACCACTGCTGAATGCCTGAAAGAGAAGAAGCATTCAGTAAACATTTGCTAAATAAATGAGTGCTATGTCTGCTACTTATTTCCTTCAGAGCACAGGAGACTGACAGTCCCTAGAAAGCAAAGAACGTAGCTCGTTCATTTTCATCTTCCCAGATCCCTAACTCTAAACTTGAAACATAATAAGCGTTTAATGACTACCTCTTAAACATTCAATCAGCACATCAAGATAATCTATTAAACTGCAAAAAAAATGATATTTGACAGGGACGAGCTAAGGCGATGATGTTGAAGATGTTCTCTTCAGGAATAAGAAGGATTTGGGGGGGGGGGGAAATTACTAAAACTTAGAGGTCCTAGGGAAATAAATGAGACTTCCCTCTATCACTGTGACTATTTTCAATTTTGAAACATGATTGTCCCAAGAACAAAGTCAGAAAAGGTAGTGTTTTATAAAGATCTATACGCTTTACAAAGGTAAATTAACCTAAAGACATACTTTATCTCTGGATATCACTTTAAAAGTAGGCAGGTCAAAACTAAGCAGCTTGGATAGCTACTTTTTTCTCTGGGGAAAAAAAAAAAACACCAGAAAAGTATATAGAATGCATGTTGTTGTTTGTCAAAAGAACAAAAGTAGTATTCTCAAGGACTGATACAATGGGAACCAAAAAAGTTTAAAATAGCAAAAGGTTACAAAGTAACGGAATGAAGGCTAGTACAAAACAATGGAAATAGAGAAAAGAAAACATCAGAAGATATTTTAAAGATTATATAATCTTTTCTAACCCTGAGAAAGGGGAAACTTTTCATCAGAGGTTAAGATGAGAAAAGCACAGCAAGCCAATTTTAGAGACATGGCAGAAATGGGCATAAAATTATAAAACAACGTACAAAAGCAAACAAGAAGAGAAAAACTGAATATACAATAAGCATTAATGAAAATGTAAATGGTAATGGGATAATTTTTCAGATTTTAAAAAAGGTTCAGAATTGAAATGGTGAATTACTACAAATATATTTTTAACTGATATTTCTCCTTAACAGAGAAGTGCTTTTTTTAAAACTGAAAATTCAGGGGCACCTCGTGGCTCAGTTGGTTGAACGACTGACTCTTGGTTTGGGCTCAGGTCATGATCTCAGGGTGCTGAGATAGAGCCAGGAATTGGGCTCCACACTCAGTGGGGAGTCTGCTCAAATATTCTCTCCCTCTGCCCCTCCCCCACATGCACACCCTCTCTCTCTCTAAAATAAATAAATAAATCTTTTTAAAAAACTGAAAATTCAATTGCAAGTTGCCAAAAAAATTGACCGCTTTAAAGACAAAGAAAATATAACAAATTAGGTTTTACAATAGGAGCAGAAAACACTGCTAGGTCCTTAAAAATAAGTTAAATTATCAATCCCAATATGACCAGGAATTGTACTGTAGGAGCTTTGTATGAAGTGGGATATGAAAGAAAAAATTCCCTGAAGAGAAGCTGCATATAAGCAAATGAACAAATAAAGAACTGTCTTCAAAGTAATGTCAAAATTTTAATACTGTCAGAAAGCCTCCTAAGTTGCTTCTGTAGGACAGTTAAATGCATCATCCGTGGACCCCTAACAATCTGTTTATTATGATCAGTTCACTTGAAAAAGGGGTTGACATGGTAGCTAGTATTAACACATTTGGCTTTTCTCTGTTATATACACCAAGAAAAAAATCTGATAAATTATTGGCTATTTGAGTTAATTCTTAGAAATTTATAGGCCTATCCTGGTAGAGAATATAATGAACTTTATATTTTTTTAAGTGTTGGGTTTCTGTCAAAGGGAGGAGACGGAGTATTACAAAAAGACAAGAGCCACAATATTTCTTCAGGACTTCGGTTCTGGTATACAGAAGAAAGTTGGATATAATGCTTTAAATCCTCTTTCCTTTATAGCCTCCCTTCATATTGAACTCTTCTGAAGTGTACTCGATGAAAAGGGAACTTCTACTAAAATGATCTCAAGGGCAGCTTACTTCTGGGTTACAAATCTCATCTTGTATCACAGCCCAAACATATTCCATGCAATGGACGCATGGCAAGTTTAAAGCAATTGGTTACCACGTCTGGGCTTGTACATTTATGAAGAGTATAATTTGAACAGTCGACATGTCCAAACACAGGAATTGTTGGCTGTTGCTGTTTATGAGCTTAATGTGGCTTACGCTCGCCTTTAGTTTGCTTAGTTCTTTTACTTAAAAAAAACAAAAGCTATTCCAAAAAGGAGCTATAAAGGTGTTGAGGCCTTTCTGCTTTGACCTTCATCATGTACACACGCAAAGTAAGATTTATTCTGAAAATTGACATCTAGAAAGCTCCACTGTGTAAGCACCTATTTTAAAAAAGAACTTTCCGTAGTACTAGCTGACAAAATGCAGTCTAAAATTCTTACAATTATTACAAACATGACAGTCTTGAATAAGTCTCCACTTACTTAAAAATTTCTCTCTTAAATGGAAAATGACCTCCTCCTCATCATCCAAAGTGGTTAAGCAGTTTAATAAGTCTTTCATGTCTACAGATTTCTTTAATCATTTCATTGGCTCATTAGGATACCAAAGGCATTTTACCTAGAGGTCTAAAAAATCCCCTTCTTTGTGACCAAAAGGTATATGCATGTTTGAAGGGGTAATGGTTTTCTGAACAATGTAATCTGCTAAGGGCGTTGTAACTTTTGGCCCTGATCTCACAAGTGAGGTTTTCACTCCATAGGCATCTGTTTGCAATCTAAACTGAGAGAACCAAAATTTGGTCTTGGACAAAGAAAGGAAAGATCCAATTCTGTGTGTCTGTGTCCTCAAGGTAAGATTAATCAACAAATAGTAGTGATCAAGTATGTATATTACCTGAAACTACAGTCTAAAGAGATAAGGTCTCAGTGATCATTTCTCCAGAGGTTCTTCATTTTCCCCGGGCAAGCCCACCATGATGGTCTCTGAAGCCTGTTCAGACATCTGCCCATTGTCTACCTCAAGGCTTTTTTCCAAATGATCACTTTCTTCCTAGAAGTTGTTTTAAGCTACTTCCCTGTTCCTAACTCAAAATTATATTGTCCCCGTCTCCTTCAAGCAAAGGCACTACGCACAATTACCTTCTGTTGTTCAAAAGGGGCAATCTAGGAATGTCCTTTTCTTTATTACACTAGCACAATTAAGATATCTACCCAGAAATCTCTACCTCTAAAAATGATAACAAATATCAGCATTTGTTTGAAATCTTGTTCTAAAGCTTCAAAAACACTCCCATCTTCCTGTTTTATTTTTCACAATGACATCCCGGGGTCTTCAAAATGAAAACCAAACTACTTTGCACAAACTGGTCTGCCCTTCACCGTGCTGAAATTATTCATTCAACGAATACCTTGCCTAGCCCGTGCTACGTATGTGTACTATACGTAGATGTCATTCAACGGCAGCCCTTCTCTACGTACACGCCTATATCAAAAGCACGCGACTTTTTCACAGATTTTCTCCATTAACCCTCCTTCCCTTGGTAAGCTGCTCACCCCATGCCTAAAACTCTTTCCCCCAAGGCAGGGGGCTAACAAGGCAGGGGGATGGGGTGGGGGTGGGGGGTGGCGAGCGATGCTTCGGCACCCGCAGCTGTCACCGCGGAGCGCCTGGCGCGCATGCGCAGCGTGAGCAGCCCGGCCCCGGCCCCGCGGGTCACCCAGCGAGCAGCGGTCGAGCCCGACGGGCAGTGCAGGATCCACAGACGCCCGCGCGGCTGTGGGAGGGCGGCGCCCCCAAGGGCAGTGTGGCGTGCGGGGCGGGCGGGCACACTCACAATTTCAGCATCCACTCGCCCTCCATCACCAGCGTCCAGTTGGAGGCGGTCATGGGCCGCACCCGGCTCCGCTCCTCCGGTAGCGCGGCCTGCTCGGGGCCGCCCTCCGTCGCCGTCGCGACTCGGGCGGCCAGGAGCGCCGTCAGCAGCGGACCCCAGTGCCCGCCCGCCATGTTGGGGCGCGGAGGGAGGCTCCTCGGCAGGGGGTGTGGGGACAGGAAGCGGCGGGCCCGGGGCCTCGCTAGCCCGCTAGCCCGCCAGCCCAGGCCTTCCCAGGTAGTCGGAGGTGGCGCCGGGCAGCCCCGCCTCCGCCCGGCCGCACGGACAGCCCCAGCCTCGGAGGCGGGCAGCCAGCGCCGCCTCTTATCCGCCCGGGCCCGCTGAGGCCACGCCCCCTCCCGCCTCGCCTTGGCGTTGCCGGGGTGTCGGTTGCCTGGGCAACGGCCGCCCTTTCTTTCCGACGCCCTTCCTCCGCTTCCCGGCTCCCGAAAATAAACAGATGACCCACTGTTGCTTAAGTTAGAACTGGCACCGCGTGCGCCCAGGCTCCAGTTCGGGGGTTGGCGCGCGTGGGGATTTCTAAAGAGAAACACGGCCGCTAATTTAAAAATCCATCCCCTATTCAGTGGTAGTGAAAGTAACAATGGACGGCAGAGTAAACCTATTTACAATGAGGAAACAGAAGGATGCTCGGCCATCTCTCGCTGAAAGGGAGAGGAACATTTAAATACTCTCTGCGTGTGTATATTGAAGTATCACTGCCTGATTGGAGATAATAGTGAAACTAGATTCTGCGATTGTATTTTTTAATAATTGTAATTTTATAAAGAACTTCTAAAACATGAGTACGAACATAAAACGAGTCGGTGAATAAAAGAATATTGGCAGTTGCAATTAAAGGGATCTCGCACTTCTCTTGGCTACAGTGCGTCAGATCTAAAAAGAAAGTAGCCTAAATGATTTCCACATCTCTCTCCAGATACGCCTTAGATGCATCTGTACCTTGAGATAACCACACCCTGAGTTTGTATGGCTGAAATACAATTAGAAGGTGACTGAGCTTTTTCAAAGTGTGCTTTATAAAAATTTGTTAGCTGTGCAAAGCATAAAACTAGGTAATATGGCCAATACATGATGAAAAAGTGTGATTTCTGTCCTGGCCTTAAAACAAAGACCGCTATAAACCTAACAATATTGCTGGGCACATGAGATCGCTCTCTAATCCTGTAGGAGAGAAAGATTAATTTTGCCTCCAGAGAAGATCTTACTTGCGTTAGGTGTTAATTAGTAGTAGCTCCATGCTATGTGGAGCCAGCCCTTATAAAAATATAAGACTCACATTTACAGATTATTGTAAATTTGGAAAATGTCCTTGCAATAAGCGTTACTAAGAATCACTGTTATTGCATACAAATCAATCCTATAAACTCAATAGAAAACACTTTATTTTGCTTATAAAAAATATCATACACAGGAATTCTATCATTCTTTTTGGTTCAGCTTTTGTATACGATACGTGATTGGTAGAAAAAAATTCTTTAAAACAGATTCTGCTATTAAGAAATAATTACTAATTTTGTTGGGGGTGTGATAATGGTCTTATAACTATATTTTTTAAAAGTCTTTATTGGTTACAGTTAGTAAAATATTTATGTGTGAAATAATATGGTGTCTAGAATTCACTTGATAATACTCCAGAAATAAAATTTAGGGAGTGCAGAGAGGATGGATAAACATAAGCAACACAACGTCAAGCAGTGCTGAAGCTAAGTTCATTTTCGCTTTTTTCTACTTTTGTGTGTGCTGGAAAATTTGCAAAATGAAGTGTTAAAAAGAGAGAGTATCTGAGGCACAAGAGAAACTCATTGCTGAAGCTCTTCCTCTTTCTAACACAAAACGTGTGTTCAAGGATCGCATTTCCTGGCCTTCAGAGTAAGGTCAGTGGGAAGGACCATAGCAAGAATGTATGGGAGCAAACGAGTAGCACGATGGCACAGAGCCAGCTAAGGGGGCAATTGCTGTCCAATGATCAGTATCTGAGCCCTGACACTTCTTACCTATGTGACTTGGGGCTAAAACTAGTTCACACCAAGGTTCTGTTTAAATGCAGGTAATAATAGAACCAACTGCATAAGAGGGCTGTGAAGACTAAATGGGATAAATATAATGCCTTACACATGGTATGATTAAAAATCTTATGTCTTATTATCTGGAGGCAACAACATGCTATAATGCTTCTAAGACTCTCTAATTTTCCTAGATTAAAGTCAAATTTGCTTTTCTTGGTACACAAAATCCTTCACAATACTGCTTCCGTTTTGCCCGCTTTCCATGCTGCCATTTCCACAATCCCCTATACTCCAGTAACTCTACTCCCGTTCCTCAAGCACATTAGGAACCCTGGTGAAGTCTTTGAGAGTGTGACTTGAGGTCAGGTTGACAATAGGTCCTGCCCTGCTTCCCCTTTTCCTCTATGGTTGAAGAGGGAGTTAAAAGCCAAATGTCCTTTTTCCTCTATCCCCAGATCTGCATGTTTCTCACTGATACATCACATGCGGTAGATGTACACCCAGCGCCCTTCTCTTTCCCAGCCCACAAAGGAGTACACTTCTACATCCCCTATGAAGTTAGGCCAACAGTGTAAAAATTCTGCAAGTAGAAAGGATGTGTATATACCACTTGAAGATTGAAGCATTTAATCACTGATGTGACACCCTCCAGTGGAAGCAAGAAGCAGGAAGCCCCTATGATGAAACTTTTAGAGAAAAGACATGGTCTAGGATTACACAAGACCAGAGAGAAGCTTAAGTTGCTAAGATGCTTCCTGGAGAACAGTTCCCCTAGATGGTCCCTGGATTCTCAGGGGATTTTACCTAGGCAAGAAATACGTTTTCATTATGATAAACCTATTCAGGTTAGCTATTACTACCTAACTACCACAATATCAAGTCTCATGGTTCTGGGGGCTGAAGGGTTTGGCTGGGCTGTCTTTGCTTGGATTCCTGCATATGGTGGAAGACACTTGTCACATCCACTACATTCTACTGGTTAAACAGATCACTAAAGGCCAGCCCAGATTAAAAAGAAGAGGAATTAGATTTTACCCCTTAGAAAGAAACAGCCAAAATAAATTGTGGCCATCTTTCATCTATCAAAAAGTCACCCTGAAAATTTGGAATTGTTTGTCACTGAAGGATCATCTAACCCATTCTGACTAACCCAGTGTTTTCTTTTTATGACTTTGTCAAGAATAGCTTAGGTGTTATTTTGCGGTGACATTTCCAGAAAGCAGCATGGGAACTACCTCTCCCCTTTTACCTTTTATGAGTAGATCTGCCCTATTAGGTGCTTGTTTGGGCAAAAAGTATTGGGGAAAATGGTTTTCAAGCCTTTGGGAAGCTACACGCTTTGATGCCATAGTATTTAAGTACTCATGGGACTTCCCAGGATTTTTGTTAAACTTATTCCAAAAAGACTCAAAAAAATGCGGTAAGATTTATATAAACATACTCATATGAGTAAGATCTCTTTTGTACTCTGAACACTTTTTACACATTGAATAATCAATTTAAGAAAACAATTTACCAAGTGAGGTAAGAACATATGTTCCAATCCATATATTCCATAAATTTAGAAACTTTTAACACATAGTAACAAGAAAAGACCTTGCTAAAATTGATAACTCAGGACTTGATATTAAGAGGATAATCAAGGAGAGGTAAAGAGATTATATTCAGATTATAAACTCCATAGTAAGAAGGTAAATAAACAATATGTAATAGTTTTCCTATTGAGGATGGTGAAACCAATACAGAAATGTTAAATAAGCTAGGTAGTGCTATAAAATTAGTCCATAGAGTAATAATAGTACAGGAATTTAATTACACAAACAGATTTGCTAAATGCCTTACAGGAACAAGAGGTGGAGGGAGAATTTAAATAGGACACTTCCTAGAACAGATAGTAGGAGAAACCATGAGGAATGGAAATACACTGAATTGTCCCAGGCTAGTGACTAGAACAAATTCAGAAGAAGGATTAAGTCTCTAAGAAGTAACAATCCCAGGACCCTTTTAGGGGAAAGAGAATCAACCAATTCTTTTCAAAACTAGGGAGCTCAGGAAGGCTCCATAATAGAGAAATATACACACACCAATTCTCTTCCTATACACCAGTAAGAATAATTTTAAAATGTAATATGGACAAAGATCTTATTGAAGAGCAAAAATCTATCAGAAAAAAAAAAAAAGAAAAGCTGAAGAAACATGCAAGACATATGGAAAAAGCAGGATGGCCTCATATGGTAGAGATGTCAATTTTCCCAAATTAATCTGTAAATCTAATGCAATATGATGCAAAGTACAGCCAAGATCTTTTATACAGAGTTCTAAAAATCTGCCTTAAAAAGTTAATGCTTATGACTAGGCAAGGATTTTTAAAAAGCTCAATGATGTAAATCTTGCCCCCTCAGGCATTAAAATATGATATAAAGTAAAAAAATATATATATATTTATAGCATATATATATGCTATAAAGTGACAATAAAATTGAGGAATTAGTATAAGGAGAAGCAAATAGGTAAATGGATCAGAGTGATGACTCAAGAAACAAAACTATATGTTTATGGATATGTATGTGAAAGGTGGTGTTTTAGTCAGGAAAAGGTAGACTTAGGCTGCAGTAACAAACAGCCCCGCAAATATCAAAGGCTTAACTCAGAAAGCTCATGTCTCCACCATGCAAATTCCACCTTGAATCTAGGAGACTCTAGAGAAGCTGAAGCCTGGGCAGGGTCTACACAATATAGGCTCCTTCGATCTTATGGCCTTCCATCTCAACATGAGGCCTCCTCCATGATCATAGCAGAGAAAGAGAAAGACAAAAGGCTTCAAGAAGCTTTTTTGGCTTCCTGGGGCTCCTGGCCGGTTTAGTTGATAAAGCATGCGATTCTTGACCTCGGAGTTGTAAGTTTAAGCCCCAAGTTGGTTGTAGAGATTACTTGAGAATAAAATCTTTTTGTTTTATTTTATTTATTCATTTCAGATAGAGAGATACAGAGAGAGAGAAAAAGAGAGCCTGAGCAGGGGGAGTGGCAGAGGGAGAGGGAGGAGCAGACTCCCGCTGAGCTAGGAGTCCGACATGGAGCTTGATCCCAGGACCCTGGGATCATGACCTGAGCCAAAGGCAGATGCTAACCATCTGAACCACCCAGGGGCCCAATGAAAATAAAATCTTAAAAGCAAAAAAAGAAGAAGCTTTTTGGCTTCCTTAGTCCAAAAGTAACACATACCAGTTCAGCTCATAGTCCATTGGCCAGAACAAATCTTAAGACAGCCCAATTTCTAGGAATGGTGGTTGTCCT